TCCAAATTATCCAACTGGCCACACACTGTTTCACCAAGTTTCATGATTTATCCTAAATATGATATATGGCTGAACAGTTCATCAGTTAGGAAGACTAGTAAGACTTGCAAGACTTTGCATTTTCGAGCAATTAGAAAGGTCCAGTAAGTTAAAGAAAAGAATGCTGATTTCCCTGTAATTAGCATGAAGAAATATTGTTTCTAACTCGTGTGGAATTCTGATACTGGTCAAAATGGTGCAATTTGAAGTTGAGAAAATGTTCTTGATATTTTACAATGTTTCAATTTTAATAAAAGTTGTGTAGACAGTGTGTCCTGTATTTGAGGAGAGCAGGCTTAAGAGCCCAGCACACATCAACATAGTAGGGAGTGCCCAGTGGTGGCAACAGAAAGTGATCAGTTATTCACACAACATGTACGACTTCTTACATGTGTATATACATTGTAGTAACCAACTATATGTATGAAAATGGAAACTCAGTGTATATAATTGCATACTTGTATAAACAGAGAGAATGCACCTTTGCCACTTTAATGTACCAGCCCAACTACACAATATGATATCATACAGCACCTGTGATGCTTGATATGTTGTGCAATGTCCCCACTTTCCCCTCTTCCTTTAAAAAAGATGCAAACAATCAAGACGTGAAGGCTCAATAGTCACACTTTCACCGGCGTTGAATCAGTTCCTTTTCCCCTTCATTCAGCTCAGTACATTCCACAAAAGGCCAGTCAGAAGAGTACTGAATCCCTCATCTTATACCTAGCAATTCAAACTTCTTGAAGTGACATCAAACACCCCAGAAAAGTTTTCAATTCCTTGCCCTGCCAGAGCTAAATGTATTGAAGTTGATGATAAGTATATACCCGACCTAAGAAGGTCGACATTCATCACCGAGAAAAGGAATTGGCTGTCTGCCACCTAAATAGGACCATAAGACACCAATCCTTCAAGACTAGGCCACTTGTACGGAGAAAGGTTGGGATATCAAGCCACGCAGCCTTGAGATAGATTTATTCCTGTTGAATGGAGAGAAAGGGTTGCGCGAGGGAGGTGCTTTTCCTATCTCCTCGGGCCTTGTGAGGTCTTCTTTCATCCCGCCAGTCTGATAACTCTACACGAAACCTGCCACTTGATGCATGACATTGAAACATGAGTCGCCAATTCTTATCTACAAGCCATCAGGTCTACTTTGACCACGGACTATATTCCGGCGTAATTGCCTCCCCGTTTGGTGACCCTCGGCGCTCAGTTTACCACGTTATCCGACATCTCCAAATGACGTCTTCCGTTGGCGGTTACGGGCTCGGCAAAGTTTGTTTATGACCGTGCCCATGGTGTTTATTTCTGCAGATGTAATGACATCCAATTTCCTTAGTTGGGTGATGAGTGCTCGCGTATCCATAAAATGCCAGAGGAGGCACAAAGTAGTCCACCAGGGGGGTGGGAAAGGTGAGGCGACAGGCCGTTTGTCGTGAAGCTATACCCCCAGACATCGGCGCGCTTCCTGATGTACTTCAAGTGCTGAGCGATATAAGGTCGCCCTTAAACTTGATAAAATCTTGAGGAAAAGACGTACAGCCCACGTCTTCAACCCAAAGTTTGTTACCGTCTGAATGATGTCGCGTCCTCCCGTCCAATCGTGATGACTGTAGCACGGAGGAATCACCCAGCGCCGCAATGTAAATATCAGGACAGTTGATATGTTCTGCTGATAAGGTTAGGAGATTTGTGGACGTTGCCTCTGGTAAGCCCAGAGTGTTGTCGTCTGCAGATTTTGAAGGATGCCAAGATTGTAATGTTGGCCTTTCGGGGAAGAGCGAGGGCTCTGCCATTGGGAACTCAAGTTGTGAAGTTATTATGGTGCGGAGTTTAAACCATTGTGTGCGTCATTTTGTCATCAAAGTGTGAGAAATGGCAGGGGTGCTTATTATCGAGTTGAGCAGGAATATGTACATGTACAATCATGAATGATTTATGAAAAATCCTTGAGAAACACAACAACCTCCAACAACCCTGGGCTCCCCCCTTCATGATGGTGGAATGTCTGGTCCCGTGGGACTACAGGAGCTTTGATTAAAAAGTAGTGCCTTGATACGAGATAAGTCCAATATATGAGAAATGGGGGCTTTCCACCCACACAACAGTACAAAAAGCAGCACCATGGACTTGGCAAGTACAGACACAACCAGGAAAGACTGGATTACAGGGGTATCTGGTGTATGGAGGCTGTGCTGTCACAGCATAGATCATGAAGGAACCTGTTCCCTGAAATGTTCATCTACAATATACACTTCTATAGTGTGGCTTCCTTTGAATCCAACTCTGACATATGTCTTGCCTAGATGTAAAGTTATGTAAATAAATGTCCTCTGTTTTTTGTTATTATAAACAATCAAGGTATATAACGTTACTTACTATGACTTGGACTAAAGGTGTATATACTGTATTAGAAAATAAGCATCTTTACACATTTTTTTTTTCTAAAAAGAACTGCTACATGGTATGTAACGGTTTATTTTTTTAAAGGGAAATAGAGAGTAGACCTTGGGTAGGAGTTTATTTTCAAATGGCTGTCTTGCTGTCCTCCGCAGTATCCCTTATGTGTGGAAACTAGCATGGCTCGGTATTTGATTAATTCAATTTGGTGCAGGGAAATCAGGAAGGAAGCCGGTCAGCAATCAACTTTGCCCAGCGCAAAGTCGTGCTTTCTGGTTAGGAAATATAATTTGGGGAAACATTGCCCTGCCAGTGATAACCTTGGTGACACGGGGTCCCCCGGGCCCCCTGGCTATAAAAGACCCTCCTCACCTCGGAGAGCAAGGAAATATTATGAACAGACCTAAGTAAAGGCCTAGATTAAATCAGGCTACCCCCAGAGCAGGAAGTCGCGCTTTTAATATCTATCTGACGCCAGCCCGCTGCCATGTTAACCACGCGGGGACATCTGGAGTCTCTTCACTGGAACCAGAGGCTGCCCTGCTGCCGTATTAGGACAGAAGTCTGTAGTTTGCCACAAATTGACCAGCCGTAATGGCACTTTTGCTTTAAAGGGGGTTTTATGGGTTGACTGCTGGTGCACTTTCCAGCCCTCCAGGCATCCCCAAATCGTTTGGCGACTCAGCCATGCGCCCTGGAGTTTGATAGACATGTATGGTTTTAATTGGACGGGATGGACTTGTGTGTCACCCGTGGAGAGACTGGCATGTCCAGCCTCGCATTAAGCCATAAAGAAATTTCAGCAATTGGTTTGTGGCCCAAAGCGCGTGTGTGATTGCCTTTGGAGGCACGGACGATTTAGAGTGCACGTGGCATGGCGAAAGTGCTTCTTGAATAAGAATTAAAGGGAGTCCCCCTGGCTATGTAGGTCAAACCAAACTTAACATTGAAATTTATCTGCGCACCGAAGGTGAAAGGTGACGACGGGTGTACACCAGTATGTCCTCCAGGATTGCTTTATTGGCCCGCGCTCTGACGCGAAGCACGTGCCGCGCCTGCCAAAAGCTTCGCAAAGGAAAAACCGCGCGCTGGATCGCTGCCAGGAGAGGTCGTGGCAAACTTAACATCCGAAGTTATCGGTACACTCAAGGGTAAATTCGATGACTACCCGCGCATGACCTCGTATGGATCGCTGTATTGAGTTATGTCGCGGCGACTGTACATAAAATGCACCTCAATGCTGCCCACTGCGGCCTTTTGAAATCTGATAACTTTTTATGTCACGCAGTTAACCCCGGGAAGATTAGCCCACCGGGTCAGTCATTTTGTGCAGAAACCGTATGGCTGTGTGGAAATCGTTGAATTATGGGGCCACAGAGATTTCAGATTAGAAGAATTAGAGCTTCATAATAGGCACCAAAGGGCCAGTATTTGCGTAACAGTTAACAATGTAGCATATGCCCCTTCAGTGTCAAAGTTATTAATGACCACATGAAATATTCTCCTGGACGACCCTCATTCCCCGAAAGGTTACAGAATGGTACAATTAGCCTCCCCCTCTGACCCAGCAGTGTGGGCGATGTAGGTGTAAGGAGATGCATGCACTGATGCATCTGTGCGGACGGTACAGCGTGCTCGGTATATCGTACTTATAGGATCGTGTCGCGTGGGACTTGACTGGGTATCGCGTCGAGCAGAAGGAGAAATGATCTCGGGCAGTCGCAGCCTGGTCCGGGAACACGAACAGGGTCGAGGATGATCTCGGGTCGACCCACTGCGGCAACATGGCGCGGAGCGAAGATTAGTGGCCGCACGCTCGCCACATGACACGTCCTGTAATAACCTGCCACTATCTGCACCATGTTCACCCCCTCACGCTGCTGACCTCCCGGCTGACATCCATAGCAATTTCCGCAGATCTAGGGCAGCAGGGCTACTGCAATATTCTGACCTGGTAGTGCAGCGCCGCACACTGATACACAAAGTGCGATCTTTCGCATTGTCACCTTGACCACCCTGGCCTCCGCAATCAGAACCTTTACCATTGTCAAACAAGATTCCTTTCAGGCTGGCTGATTCGGCAATTTGGCACATGTGCCTCCCCCCCACCCCTGTGTCAGCTTGCAGTTCATGAAAAAGGCAATCTCGGCAATCGCGCTGCCAATGTCATTGTGAATGTCACAAC